AGCAACAGCCTGGTTGATCAGGCGCTGATCCACCAGGAGGCCTGGTCACAGACCGGGCCGCGGGGGCGTTGACCCCCGAAACTCTCTCCAGGTAAACTCCAGGTAAACACAGGTTGAGTTGGACGTGGGGGATGTCAAAGAGGTTTTCATGTCTTGTGTTATGTTGGTGTAATCTGTTGCAGCTATCAAGGAAAAGTTTCAGAAAAGGGTATACAGGAGGGGCCCCTCTTATACATCAGGTTAGGTTCTGGGCTACTGCTGTAAAGCAAAAATCACTGTAAAGTTATCTAAAAGATGGTTGTCAGATGTTTGGACAAGGGCGCAATTTCAGTACTTGTCATAGATGCTATTTTCCATAGATATGCCCCTGTGCACACCCACCCATAAATGAGACTCTTGAGAGGGGTGGGGAACCCTACTGCTCACAGCTTGTAATATCAAGGGTTTCTTGGTATTGTGAAAAAAATGTTGCATATTTTCAATAACTTTGTCAGATTATCACGCTATGTAAAGTTATAGTTTGAGAGGGTTAACTGCCCATATTTTTAATAGATATTGCATAATGCACTATTAAATATATGTAATATACTCATTTGTAATATAGTGTAATAAACTTAGCTTTAACCCTTTCACTGTTGAGAGCCCTGCTCACAAACTTGCTCTCAGTATCAAAAAATTTCAAAAAAAAAAAAAAAAAATTCTTACCAAAATCTTACAAATAATTTTCTGTGTTAGAAAAAAAAATTGGTGATCAGTAACCGAGATAGAGAGGCATGAAGTTGACAGAAAGTGAACTGCAACATCTGTGACTGCTGCTCACTCAGTAATACATGTGTTATTTTTACTTGTATTCTATTTTCTTCTAATTTATTTTTTTCAAGTAACTTTTGTGGCCCATGAGACCAATATAATGCATATTGTATATATACCCACTCGTTTACAACACAATAACCATACAACCAACCAACAAGGGGGTGGAATACCTATATACTACTCAGATCAACTTGAATGTATCAATAATACTTGCACAAGGGATGAACGTGGAGAATATATTATAGCTAAATTTAAATCCAAAGACCTACAAAAACCTCTTGCAGTGATAAACAGCTGCAGAATACCATAGTCAAACATTTACCAATTTAGTGAAAAATTAGGAAGCACAATAACCAGTGCACACATGAACAAAGACCACTTGCTGCTCATAGGCGACTTCAATATAAATCTCCTGCAAGACCAAGACCCACAAGTAACTGAATTCACAAACACTATGAGCAACTGCTTGCTGCTACCAACAGTAACAAAACCTACATGAATCTTGGAGACTAGTATCTCCTTATTAGACCATATCTGGACTTACATCGTATCCCCTTTAAAATCAGGCATAATTGCAGATAACACCACAAACCACTACCCTACCTTTCTCATAACCAACCTAGGTAAATTGCCCTAAGACTCTGCTAAAGTTACCTTCAGACTACATAACGAGGCAGCTATTAATAACTTTATAATAGCAATGACAAACATCGACTGGCACAACGAGCTAGAAATCTATACAGATATTGATGAATGTATTAATAATTTTCTAAAAAACCAAACAGATCACAGCTTAATGACTGAACAGTCTCTGGCTAACACCCAGCATTCTCAAATCCATTAATATAAAACACCTATATGAAAAACAGTACAGAATAGGGCAAATAACCAGAGACCAAACTAAACGTTACTTGTCATCCCTAACCAGCCTGATAAGGTCAAAAAAATTGTATTATGAGAACAGATTACGTAACTTAAAAGGTGATGTGAAAAAGACCTGGAAAGCCTTATTTGAAACTCTAAGAACTAAAAAGATCTCTAAAAACAGAACAACCAAACTAACAAAACCAGATGAACCCCTACTCCCACAGACTGAAACAGCAAACAGACAATGTTTTTTCACCATAGGAAAAAACCTAGCGAGCAGAATCCCAATCTCACACACCCCACCAAAAGACTACCTCACTGGCACCCACCTGAATACACTATTCTTAGCACTGACCAACCCAACAGAAGTCTCACTCATCATCAACACACTTAAAAACAAGGCAAGAGATTTAAATAACTTACTGCCTTTTATGTACAAAAAAGCTTCTCAAGTACAGTGGACCCCCGCATAACGATCACCTCCGAATGCGACCAATTATGTAAGTGTATTTATGTAAGTGCGTTTGTACGTGTATGTTTGGGGGTCTGAAATGGACTAATCTACTTCACAATATTCCTTATGGGAACAAATTCAGTCAGTACTGGCACCTGAACATACTTCTGGAGTGAAAAAATATCGTTAACCGGGGGTCCACTGTACTGTCACCAGTTATTGCAACTCTTTAACAAATCCATTGAATCTTCCACCTTCCCATAAATTCTCAAAATAGTGAGGGGTCACCCCGATCCACAAAGGAAGAGATCAAGCAAACCTGAATAGCTATAGGCCAATATCTAACTTACCCCTTCTTTCTAAAATCTTTGAAAAATTAATTCATAGGCAGATCTATTCCTACCTCATCTCCCACAACATACTCAACCCCTGTCAGTTTAGATTCAGGCCTAATAACAACACAAATGATGCTATTATACACGTGCTAGAACTAATATATACCACTCTCGAGAAAAAAGAAGTCCCACTGGGAATCTTCATTGATTTACCTAAAGCTTTTGATACAGTTGACCATGATTTGTTGCACATAAAATTAACACACTATGGTATAAGAGGGCATTCTCTCAACTACCTGAAGGCATACCTTAGCAACAGAAACCAATATGTGTACACAAATGGAGCTAACTCTTCCACACAACCAATTACAACTGGGGTCCCACAGGGAAGTGTCCTCGGCCCACTTCTCTCTCATTTACATCAGTGACCTACCAAATGCATCTCAACTACTCAAGCCCATATTATTTGCAGATGACACTACATACGTCTTCTCTCACCCAAGCCCAGTCATACTAGCCAACACTAAATGCTGAATTACAGAAAATATCTACCTGGATGATGACTAACAAATTTATTCTCAATATTGAGAGCTACAAATGTTCCACTTAACTCAGAGGGAAAATTCTTAGAAATTCACCTTGACAGTAGCCTCAAATTTCAGATGCATATACAACAAATTTCCAAGAAAATCTCTAAGACCATAGGCATACTATCTAAGATATGGTACTATGTTCCACAGCCAGCTCTCCTTGCCCTGTATCACTCGCTCATTTACCCCTATCTCACCTATGGAATTTGTGCATGGGGCTCAACAACAATAAATCATCTCAGACCACTAATAACCTAGCAAAAGGATGCAGTCAGAATGATGATAAATTCCCACTCCAAACAGCATACTCCACCAATATTCAAAAGTCTAAACTTACTCACCATAAAGAACATCCATTCTTATTATTGTGCCTACTACATACATAGAACACTACACTCAAATATAAACCCTCCACTCAAACTTCTCCTTACCAACCTTAACAGGACACATGACCATCACACAAGACACAGATTACTCTTTGATGTTCCCCGTGTCCATCTCACACTATGTAAAAACTCTATGCACATAAAGGGCCCAAAAATTTGGAATTCATTACCAGTGAATACCCTGTCTGTACATCAGTTCAAGACTCTTCTTAAAAAACCACCTACTCACCCAAAACTAAATACACAGTACTTAATTTTATCTACAAAGCTACCAAATCACTCTCCACCGCAGGTTGTTGTGGTATGTGGGTGGTTAAAGGTGGCCTTTGTTGTTGGATGTGCTGAGTCAGCAGCATGGCTATCAGCCTGGGGTGCTGCTGGTGCCACATGAAGCATTACACCACCACCACCTGTTGCTGCATGTATATTATCCATCCCAATTGTAACATTACCCATTACCCATACTATCTTCCCCACCACTCAAATGGAAATAATCACTTAGACTTTTTGGAGTTATCCTAAGTTCTCTACACATATGCTGCTATGTATGATAATCTATGTAACTGTATTTGTGTATACCTGCATAAACTTACCCGCTGTCTTCCCCACCACCCACACCATCTTCACCACCCACGCTGTCTTCTCTTTTCATTATCTGTTCCTGGTGTAAGGCCACGGGATGTACTCAGAGATGTACTCCTTTCCCTTGGAATAGCATATGACACACTACCAGAATGCATGTAGTCTCATATAAATTGAAGCTTCATTGGTATTCCTCTTCATTGTCACTACTGGAATTGTAATCAAGAGCTTGGAAATCACAATCAGTATCACTATCATGACCACTGCTCACATCTGAGTCCTGGACATGGGAAAATATGAGTTTCCTCTTTCACCATGGCACAAGTGAACATGAACAAGATGGCCCGGCACCAGAGGTGGAAAGTTGATGGTTGTCTGGGTTTTCAGCACTATTTCTGGTATCCTGGGCATTGCTTTTGGTCACAAACTTCTCCTCAAAACCATGAACTTCATCTTCACTGACACTTCCATCCAGGTTAGAACTATCACTTGGGAAGAGAAAAGTCCCAATTTGCCGGGAAGTTAGGTATTCCTTACCGCTAGGCATGGTGAACAAGGCGTACTGAATTGGCACTCCCACAATGCACTGCAGCCTCCCTGATTTTTCCATACTGCGCACAATGAGCACACAGACCCATTCTCTCACATGTAGGCCTACCAGCTTTCTCCTGCCAGATTTGAAGCTGCTATAATTTTGGCTTAGTATTAGGGAACCAACACTGGCCTGCAAGCCATAATATTACGAGACCGACAGTGAAAGGGTTAATATAGCATAATATACTGTTTTTATAATGTGACATGTCTACACTATTCATAGGTGCTGCATTTAACAGCTCACCATATTAACACAAGGCTCACCAAAATAGTGAACAGCTCGCCATAACACTCCATGGTTCACCATACTAGTGCATGGCTCACCATAGTAATGTGTGGTGGACCATCCTAGTGTATAACAGACCATAATATTTCCTAGTGGACCATATTAGTGTATGGGTAATATCCCCATCCCCACTTGCTACTTATCATCACAGGTTGCATGGATCATATGAAGCGTTAGAGGGAGGTCAGAGCATGGATGCCCTGGTTGACATGACAGGAGGCCTGGCTGAGAGGTACGACATGGAAGACGTTCCAGATAAGGATAATCTCTACAAACTCCTCCTGAAGTCCTCCATGAATGGTGCCTTCATCACTGCATCTAGGAAGGTACTCAGAGGATGATCTCTAGGCAGTAATTAATCAGTAATAGTGGTGTTAGCTCTAGATGCTAGTGGTGTGGTAACAATAGTATTGTAGTAGTTGTAAGTACTTATGATGTGGTACCCAGTAGCGTTGCTAGGGTTGGTGTCACCCCCATGAAATCCAAGGGCGGGTGGATGGGGGAGTAAACTCCAGTTACGTCACTGCTGCATGCCCTTTGACTAATGCTTAGCAATGAGAATGTTTAATGGTTATAAACCAAACAGGAGAATACTTCTCAACTTTATTCATGATAAAATAAATCGTAGTAATATTGAGGAAACATAAACTCAAATACCACTTTGAGTACAGGCAACAGATCATACATTTATTCATCTTCAACAATGCAAAAAAAAAACTTGAAAAATAAAGAAAAACATTGCAATATCAGAGAAACACTAGTTCTGATTTGACCTTGAGTACAGGTAACATCTCAGTGAATCTGGCCTTATATTTCCTTGCCTTCAATCCTGCAAAATCATCTATCACATCATCAAAATCAATGATTTTCCCAATATAGGCCTATTTGTACTCTGTAATCATATAAGAGACTATATAGAAACAAAGGATTCTTCTCTTATGTTGCTGCACCCCTGTTTTGGGCAACAGTGTCACCTTCTTTAGAGGTTCTATGCGGTGTTACCTGGGGCAGCCTCCTTCCCCTTACAACACCACTGGTGGTACCTATAGGTACTTGTGATGTGGTAGATGCAGGCACTAATGATATAGTAGATGCAAGTACTAATGATGTGACAGTAATAGGCACATTAGCTCTGAATACTAGTAATATTGTAGTACTAGTGATGGGTATAGGTATCAGTGATGTAGAGGCATCATACTGTATTATATAAAGTATTATTTTTCATATTCACTGATTAATTTTGCTTCTGTTAACCTGGTTTTGTATATTATTTATATATATATTGTTTTTGTATGTTATCCAATTTTTGGTATATTCTATCTACACGTATATGTCCTTTTTTTTATATTATCGTGGTTTTTGCATTTTTTTTTTTTCAACAAACCGGCCGTATCCCACCAAGGCAGGGAGGCCCAAAAAGAAAAACGAAAGTTTCTCTTTTTAAATTTAGTAATTTATACGGGAGAAGGGGTTACTAGCCCCTTGCTCCTGGCATTTTAGTCGCCTCTTACAACACCCATGGCTTACGGAGGAAGAATTCTGTTCCACTTCCCCATGGAGATAAGAGGAAATAAACAACAACAAGAACTAGAAAGAAAATAGAAGAAAACCCAGAGGGATGTGTATATATACATATATATGCTTGTACATGCATGTGTAGTGTGACCTAAGTGTAAGTAGAAGTAGCAAGACGGTACGTACCTGAAATCTTGCATGTTTATGAGACAGAAAAAAAGGACACCAGCAATCCTACCATCATGTAAAACAATTACAGGCTTTCGTTTTACACTCACTTGGCAGGACGGTAGTACCTCCCTGGGCGGTTGCTGTCTACCAACCTACTACCTAAAGGTTGGTTTTTGCATATGTACAGTAATACCTTGTCTAGTATTTTCTTTATTATATAAAGTATTGGTACCCCTTTTATACACATATATGAGTGGAAAGAGGAAATGCAATGATGCCAAACATTCTAGTAAATATAAATGGTTAACATCAGATATAAAACTAAAAATTTATAAAACATGAAGATGGTGCATCATAAGCTAAAATAGCACGTGACAAGAAAATGGATGAAGCATTGGCACGTGACAAGAAAATGGATGAAGCATCGGCACGTGACAAGAAAATGGATGAAGCATCGGCACGTGACAAGAAAATGGATGAAGCATCGGCACGTGACAAGAAAATGGATGAAGCATCGGTACATGCACAAATAAGGAATGAAGATAAAATAAAAAGACATGGAATGGCTACAGCATCTTGTATGTCAAAAGTGATTGTTAAAAAATCATTGTTCTGAATGAATAATATGAAACGTCTCTTAAAATATTATGGATTGAAGACTGCAGCCAGAAAATAATTCCATTAAGTCAGATGATCCAGTGTTAAAAAAAGAAAATAGCAATGAAGGAGAAAGCTTTGTGGCAAGTCGTGGCTGGTTGTACAACTAAAATGCGTATGGGACCCCATAATATTTGAATTACTCCTGGTTAAAATGCCAGTTCAGACAATGGGGCAGCTGCAAGATTTCCTAGTGATCTAAAAAATTGATTGGAGAAAATGGCTACAGAGATGAGCCAATTTTTAATGTAGATGAAACTGGTTTGTTTTGGAGGATGACATCATGAATCACCGCTTTGTTCCAGTGATTTTGTCAGTTTTAAATCCCATATTGAAACTGACAACCTTAATTATGCAACACTTGGGGAAATGGATCAGCAACATTTATACAAAAAAACAGAGGAAATTTAAGAAGAAAATGCTGTGTCCATGAAAGAATTCACATTGGATGAACTATCAACGTTATTTGCAAAAGTAGATGCTTTTGACCTTACAACCAAGCCCACAGAAGTCACCACAATTATTAAGGTCCTTTAATCTTGTCCCCCAGGATGTGACACACAATAGTCAACTGACACCCAGGTACCTACTTACTGCTAGGTGAACAAGAACAGCAGGTGTAAGGAAACATACCCATTTCCACCCATGCTGGAGATTGAACCATGGACACTCAATGTGCCATCTTTGTTTACACCAGTGGTGATGGTGCCTAGTGTTAGTGCTGATGCTTTACCAGCATCTACCTACTGCTTGCCTTTGATTCACTAGGAACAGCAAGTAGCACATTGCTTTATTTTCCAAGACTATGCCTGAAAAAATTGGGGTGTGCCTTATGTGCCAAAAAATATGGTAGCTAATTGCAAGTTAACCCTTTCAGGGTTTCCGATGTACTAGTACGGCTTACGCATCAGGGTTATTGACATACCTGGAGTTTACCTGGAGAGAGTTCCGGGGGTCAACGCCCCCGTGGCCCGGTCTGTGACCAGGCCTCCTGGTGGATCAGAGCCTGATCAACCAGGCTGTTACTGCTGGCTGCACGCAGTCCAACGTACGAGCCACAGCCCTGCTGGTCAGGTACCGACTTTAGGTGCTTGTCCAGTGCCTGCTTGAAGACAGCCAGGGATCTACTGGTAATCCCCCTTATGTATGCTGGGAGGCAGTTGAACAGTCTCAGGCCCCTGACACTTATTGTATTGTCTCTTAACATGCTAGTGACACCCCTGCTTTTCATTGGGGGGATGTTGCATCATCTGCTGAGTCTTTTGCTTTCGTTGTGAGTGATTTTCGTGTGCAAGTTCGGTACTAGTCCCTCTAGGATTTTCCAGGTGTATATAATCATGTATCTCTCCTGCCTGCATTCCAGGGAGTACAAGTTCAGGAACTTCAAGTGCTCCAAGTAATTGAAGTGTTTTATCTCCGTTATGCGTGCCATGAAGGTTCTCTGTATATTTTCTAGGTCAGCAATTTCACCTGCCTTGAAAGGTGCTGTTAGTGTGCAGCAATATTCCAGCCTAGATAGAACAAGCGACCTGAAGAGTGTCATCATGGGCTTAGCATCCCTAGTTTTGAAGGTTCTCATTATCCATACTGTCATTTTTCTAGCAAATGCGATTGACACAATGTTATGGTCCTTGAAGGTGAGATCCTCCGACATGATCACTCCCAGGTCTTTGACGGTAGTTTTTCGCTCTATTTTGTGGAAGGAATTTGTTTTGTACTCTGATGAAGTTTTAATTTCCTCATGTTTACCATATCTGAGTAATTGAAATTTCTCATTGTTGAACTTCACATTGTTTTCTGCAGCCCACTGAAAGATTTGGTTGATGTCCACCTGGAGCCTTGCAGTGTCTGCAATGGAAGACACTGTCATGCAGATTCGGGTGTCATCTGCAAAGGAAGACACGGTGCTGTGGCTGACATCCTTGTCTATTGTCAGATATAAGGATGAGAAACAAGATGGGAGCGAGTACTATGCCTTGTGGAACAGAGCTTTTCACCGTAGTCGCCTCAGACTTTACTCTGTTAACTACTACTCTTTGTGTTCTGTTTGTGAGGAAATTATTGATCCATCTACCAACTTTTCCTGTTATTCCTTTAAAATGCATTTTGTGCACTATTACACCATGGTCACACTTGTCGAAGGCTATTGCAAAGTCTGTATATAGTATTACATCTGCATTCTTTTTGTCTTCTAGTGCATCTAGGACCTTGTCGTAGTGATCCAGTAGCTGAGATAGACAGGAGCGACCTGCTCTAAACCCATGTTGCCCTGGGTTGTGTAATTGATGGGTATCTAGATGGGTGGCGCTCTTGCTTCTTAGGACCCTTTCAAAGATTTTTATGATATGGGATGTTAGTGCTATCGGTCTGTAGTTCTTTGCTATTGCTTTACTGCCCCCTTTGTGGAGTGGGGCAATGTCTGTTTTTTTTTTAGTAACTGTGGGATGACCCCCGTGTCCATGCTCCCTCTCCATAGGATGGTAAAAGCTCGTGATAGGGGCTTCTTGCAGTTCTTGATGAACACGGAGTTCCATGAGTCTGGCCCTGGGGCAGAGTGCATGGGTATGTCATTTATCGCCTGTTCGAAGTCATTTGGCGTCAGGATAATATCAGATAGGCTTGTGTTAACCAAATTCTGTGGCTCTCTCATAAAAAATTCATTTTGATCTTCGACTCTCAGTCTGGTTAGCGGCTTGCTAAAAACTGAGTCATATTGTGACTTGAATGCCTAAATTCTAGTGCCTTCAGATTTAGCGAGAGAAAGCTGGTAGGCCTACATACGAAAGAATGGGTCGGTAGGCCTACATACGAAAGAATGGGTCTATGTGGTCAGTGTGTGCAGTATAAAAAAAATCCTGCAGCACACAGTGCGTAATGAGAAAAAAAAAAACTTTGACCGTGTTTTTGGATTAAAACAGCAACTTTGCACTGTATTTTTGTATGGTATTGATGGTTGTATTCTAGTTTTCCTGGTCTCATTTTA